TTCGACATAATTCGATTATAATTTAAAGAAATTTAAATATTTTCGTTCAAAAGTGCATACAGAGTATAAAAATGTTAGTTATAAGTAAAATAAATAGAAACTGATGTTACGTAATAACATTATTATGTAGTATTGCTTTAATATTTCATATAACATGTGACTACTACATAATACTGCAGTATTCATAATCAAAATATATTTCCGTTTCCTAAGCATATAAAATTTTTATCATGTCAAACAAAAATAGTATGCACAAATTACACGCTGTAATATATTTATTGTAGTTTAACCCTTTTTTAAATTGCTCGTTATTTAGTACAATGTAAATTGTCCTGTATCAAATACTAATTTTCTTTATTTTAGATAAAATTGTTAATTACAAAAGTACTTTGCAATATACCCTAGTTATAATTACAGGTAACGCTTCTTACGATAAAGTTAGAACACAATGAGATTACTTAAATACTTTGTGTATAATTAATAATCTGTAAAACGAATGTAATTGTTTCTGCGTACATACATATATTGTGTGCATCAACGTTGACAGTCAAACCCTAGTTTTGTGTAAACGAGACGCAGTAGAAGTTAATAAATAACTTTTATGTATAATAAATAATCGATGCGTTTTATGTAATGGACAATCAAACGAATTGTCAGGATTTCATGTAAACGGAATTATGTACATTGCGCGAGTTTTCCATTTCTTACGAGTAATTGTCCCGTGGTGGCCGTACTTTGATTCGTTGTTTCTGCGTACGAGGAGATCGGGATGTTACGCGAAATTCGAGTGGCAAGTCATAACATCGGCAAACACAACAACTGGGAAACTTGAACCAATCGCTGAAGATACCACGGCATTCATTATTCGGATCGTAGGCAAGCAACCGATGAAGCCTGTATTGCTGCTCGCATTTACATCCGTCTCTGCAGTACATCTGTTTGTTCTCGTGTCTTTTATGAAACAAAATCGTTTCTAATCATAGATCGGTTAACTAGTACGAAACAAACTACATTAATGACTTTTTAATCCTCGCAAGGCAAATGTTTTTTGACGATTTCATGGCTAGAACCATTCAAAACCTTGTGTAATTTGTTTTAGATGTTCTAAAACCTACATTTTTTAAATCAATTTCAATCTAATATAAACAGTTAATCATTTTAACAGATTTTAAAAATTTGATGTTCTTCTGTGCGCAGCTGCTAATATAGTAGTTCAATGTGATTCCCATTAAAATTTTTCTACTTTTATATATAAAATATATTTCCTTAAAGATGTGCAAGTTTTGAAATACATTTGAAATCATATTAAAACAACCAAGTTTTATGTGGAAGCCTAGAATGCTTACTATATTTTGTAAGCCAGGTAGTAAATCAAAAATTGTTATCTGAGAATCGCGAGAGAGTGACGAGTTTACATTGATATTTACTTACGTGCATTTTTCCCAGTGAACGTACTGCTCAAACGGATACAAATTCAGGAGTGCTAATACTTCTCCCCTTGTATTATTCGCCCAGAAAGGAGCAACGACTTCTTCCTTTACGGGACAAGCATTTCTGAAACATATACAAGCATTTTTGTTTCAATACGTATTGTGTTTCAAAAGTTTCAGTATTTCTTTTCAACGATAGAATATTAACTTTTCATGTCAAATTCGTGTGATTTTCAAAATCACTAGCTTCTAAAGTCTTCGTTCCAAAGTCTTGTTGAACTTATAAAGCAACCACTCACCCATAATAACGTTAGCAACACTGATTTTTTATACCAAAGATTATGCATATTGTGTTGTAAGGGATGCATTTAGAGAGAAGATAGAAAAAAAAGTACTTTCGTCGACTGTCTAAAAAATGAGTTTCATGTCATGACCAGTATGTTAGATAGTTCAACTCTACAGTTATAAAGGTATAGCAATCTAAGTTATCCTGAAAGAAAAGTGACACCCGACGCAACGATAGTTCACTAACTATTCCCTTACAGATTACTTTCTTCAATTTTCAGTTTTTGGAATGTGTCATGTAACGTACACTATTAATTATGCGGAACCCGATTAAGTTGCGAGGGTGTCAAACAAAAGTGAAACGGCCTCAGATAATTCATAATCGATGCACGTGATACCAGCGGTACTCACATGCCTCTCAGCTTCAGAACCGGTTGTTCCTGTTGTTCCTTTGCTGCAACATCCTGATAAAGTTGGCCTTTCATGGAAGAAGCTTCCGGCTTATTCGCAGGTCGATATTCTGGTCGCGGTCGAAATTCCTGTTGCTCGTTCGAACTGGTAGTCTCTTGAACGGTCGTTTCTTTTAGCGTAGCAAACAGGTCTCCGCTGGAATCGAGTTCGTCTGGCAGTTCCGTGGTGCCGGGTAAGTTAAACGTCGATGTTTCCTCAAAATTCGCCTCGGACACCTCCACAACATCAGCAACTTCTACCAATTCTCCCTCAGCCTTGTCGATCTGCTCGGAAATTTCGTTGATACTGAAATTCTGTTCTTTCACAACCTGGCTTGTGACTGTTGCTGGTGCCGGTTCCTCGGTCGTGTTCTGCTTTTTAGCTTCATTGCCGCTGCTCGTGAAAGTAGTTGTCGAAGATTTGATGGTTGGTTCACGAATGGTAGAGGCAGTTGTTGATGCCACGGTTATAGATGACAACGATTCAACTGTGGACGAAGCGGTCGCAGTTGACGGTGAAACGGTTGTCGAAGTCGAAACCGTCGATTTTTCGGTTGGCCGAAAATGGGGTCTCGTGTACTCGCTCAATTTCGGGAATTTGTTCAGCCGTTTCGAGGGATTGTTGTTGAACGATCTACTTGTGAAGTCTCGTCCCTCGTACTCGTCACCACTTATCCCTAAACTGTCTTCATCCTCGAAGTACTCGTAATCTTGAACGTACTGATATTTTCTAAAAGTTCGTTTGTCGTTATGTTTTTAGATTTGGCGTAAACAACCCAATCTTTTGCACTTTTTGTTTGCTGATTTAATAAAGAAACTCGTAGCTTTTAGACGGTACTTACAGTTTTATCAACATCCTATTTTCATTTGTTGAGACTTCCTGATAAGCCAGGTGTAAAAGGAATATTTCCCAACGTTACAACGGCATTTCAGCTACTTATAATTATGAGAAAACAACGTACAATCGGAAGTCTCAACGGACTGCACGAATTTTACATTTTTTTGTTTGTATCGCAGATGTTTGAGTGCAAAAGATTAAAGAGGAAAATTAACTTGGAAAATTAACTCCAACGTTTCAGTCATTTTGTTTCACGCTTACCTATGATCGTCTGCGAAATGGTTATAATAATCATCATATTTCAACTCTACATCATTTTTCTCGAACTCCGCTCTTAACACATTAAAATGCCTTTCGTCTCCGTACATGCGTCTCATTAATCCTTGATTCTCTTGCACGAAACGACGAACCGCGTGCCTAAAGCAAAACAAAAATATACATGTCATTAATAAGAAAATTGTCCAGCACGTACGCGTTTATAAGTTCTGTTAATGATTAAATATCCTGCCTATATAACTTCTTTCTACGTCTGTTTTGAATTAATTTCATTTCCACATCCACTTTCCTGTTCTAATTCATTCTGTCCTTCTTCCTTTCAATCTCCATCTCATCTTTCATCTTCTTTTCTAAACATGGAGATTGAAAGGAAGAATTCATACGTAATCCATACTCTGAGTTTTATTCCAACTTGAGCGTTTATCGATGATCCTAAAGATGCGTATCATTGAAGTTACATAGTTTCAATATAAAGCATATCGATATAACATCGATGATACAAGCTTGAGTTTACGATATACATATATCAACGGTATGCAACTTTAATGACCTACATTCCTAAAATTATCGATTAACTGCAGCTACAATTTGATATAACATTATTATTATTAATTTGATATGACATTATAAACGAAATCAACGATTTATAGTCCTAGTAGCTGAAATCTAGGCTGCAGATGTTTGTACAAGTACAGGAATTAAAAAGGAATTGCTGTTC